GCGCTGGTCGAAGAAAAAGAAGAAGAAGAAGAAGAAGAAGATGAACAAAACTCCCTATCATAACCCCATACATCTATGATGCTAGGTACCATGTCAATCCATATATACTAAGTACTACTGATAATTACCCTCGGCGCGCATGCGCAGCGATGATACGGTAGTTGTCTGTTACTCAACATCTCACTTCTCCAATGTTCGTTCCTAATGGGCAATGAAGGTCAGAAAGTTCGAGCGGTTTTATCTGAAATGCTCCGTTGTGCGCTTCCAGCATTACCTCGACCGGGCCCGCTTGTTCTGTGTATCTTGAAGGCACAAGAAGTCACAGCAAAGGGCGTGTATCGACTCTCGCATGCTACCTACTACTGTAGCTAGCCCGTGTCAGAACCTCCGCGAGCTACTACCGGGAGACCACCACGAGTAAATGCGCTGAGAATGCATACGGAAGCAGATAATGAGGAGGGCGGTACCATTCTCCGTATGTGAAGTATGCCGTAGAAATGTATGGGATTATGCAAAACTACGCTGCGGATTTGAACAGGGTATCGGCTGAACGAACCGGAGTGTGAAGCGCTACATTTTTTTATACCAAGTGGGGCAGCATACGGTGCTGGAATCGGAAGTTATTCTAGATTTTCAACTTGCGCGAACGTATACTAGCGGTACCGCGCATGCGCAGTTCGCCGAGGGTTTGCACTTTAGTGTAATAGTGTGTGTGTGTGAGTGATAGCCTTAGCTACTGGCAGAAATCTCCTGTTCCCAGCAGCTACCAGTGGAATTAGTGCTTTTCATAATTGCAAACCCTCGGCGAACTGCGCATGCGCGGTACGCTAATGGGCTATTGGCGCTTACTCGCGGTCTGCCGCTAGTATATAGCTCGCGGAGAGTCTGACACGGGCTGGCTACAGTAGTAGATAGCATGCGGGAGTCGATACACACCCTTCGCTGTGGCTTCAAGATACACAGAGCAAGCGGATCAGGTCGAAGTGAGCCAGCATACTGCGTTGATCGCGTCTAACTCGCGCATGCGCACCGCTTATTGATGAGTTGGGCCACGCAACGCTGTCCGCGACCGTGTTAGTTTGTCGCTCTCGAACGCAGTCGTTTCAGAAAAATCGCCATTTTAGTTTTTTACCGTTGGTAATAGCAGCAACTTGCTGAGCTGGCGACCGCATATGACAGGATCATGCTCAAACAAGATCAGATCATTGACACGGAGCCGGCCTCGATCTATCTCTGTTAGATCTGGCCCACTCACAATGACACATGACTGCGCAACACGATGCCACGGGGAAGAAGGTAGCGCTTGTCAAGGGGAACGCGGCAGTGCAGCGGGTCAGTCGACGCGCTCAGAAATCCGCGTGGGTCTATCACCGGACGCGCTTATCGAGGTCTACTCTGTGTACGGCAGCTTGTTCAGCGATTTCAGTCAACAGTCAGCGCAGTTTGTGACCACTGTATCGGCGAGTAATAATGACAGCGACAGAATAAGCCGACAAGGGTAGATGACCGAGCGTGGTTCACTGGCTCGACCGCAATCTGCTACTAAAAAAGAAAGGCAGCTCCGGCTACTTCTTCCTCTCGGTCTCTCGCACGCGCGCTAAACAGCAAGCGCGTGTAGGAACTCTGGCACAGGTTGTCCACATCTTCGCAACCACTGTCATGTTTTACTGTCACAAACACACTCGTTGTCTTGTAACCACTACACCACAGCCCTGATCCGCACCTAGCTCTATCTTATAAAAGCACCATGCATTATCATTGAGCAGCTTCCATAATATTTTGAGCAGAACCCCTGTCGGTTTGAACTGCGAGAGAACGCCACGCTACAATTAGCGTAGTCGGCAGGATTGCCTGGATGGCAACGAAACCGGTTGTGTTGCCCGAGCCCTACGACGGGCAATCGTCTTGGGGTGATTGGAAGCTCCATTTCGAGGACATAGCCGCAGTCAACGAATGGAATGCTGGACAGAAACTCAAGTGGCTACGTGTCCGCCTAACTGGTCGAGCGCAGAAGGCGTTCCACCGCCTACCAGGAGAAAGTCAGGCCTCTTATGATGCCGCTACAAGAGCCCTGCAGGAGAGGTTCGAGCCGAAGAGCCGGATGACCCGATATCAGGCGGAATTCGAGACCCGCAGCAAGAAACGCTCCGAAGGCTGGGCTGATTTCGCAGAGGACCTCCGCTCCCTAGTCGACAAGGCGTTCCCTGATTTACAACCCGAGGCAAGAGAGCGTCTCGCTCTGCAAACGTGAAATTGTAGGAAATATCACAAGTAGCTTAAGCGAGAGTATATATTATAGATATGTCAAACAGATTCCCACTAGAGTAGCTATTTTTAGATGGAACAATGTCATAATACTCAAGTGAAGATCACCACTGAGTGAGCCTGGATTAGATGTTGCAGCCTATGCCACTAAATGCATGGAACATGCACATAGTGCTAAATGCACCATTTTCTGAGCGCATAAACTACCCCCTTAAAGTGGTCCTTGCATGATACTATGTATGTCCAATCCATGGAGATGTGTGGGAAAGGAGCTGCAACTGACCTTATTACAGGAGCCACAGAGGGAGATGGGGAAGTCGGGCATGACCGAGCGGTAGTACTGGTTTCCAATTGGAGTCCCCCACTCCTTGACCATGACTTCTGATCTATGTAGTCCGGTGAGTGCTGAGCGACCGACCTCCACTGGACAGAACTCACTGCCACCCTGTGCCAGTTGCAACACAGTATAGTGGGTGACTACCAACCAAACTGTAATTAAGCCTATATTTCCCCTCGTAAGCCAGGGGCATCCCCACGGCAGCAGGGGACACCCGAGAGGGAGGGCTACCTTGTGAAGCAACCTATAATAGTGATTACAGACCCTGTGTGTTAGTCTTGCTACATTCTGGAGATGTATGGGAAAGGAGCTGCAACTGACCTTATTACAGGAGCCACAGAGGGAGATGGGGAAGTCGGGCATGACTGAGCGGTAGTACTGGTTTCCAATTGGAGCCCCCCACTCCTTGACCATGACCTCTGACCTGTGTAGTCTGGTGAATACTGAGCGACCGATCTCACTGGTTGGAACTCACTGCCACCCTGTGCCAGATGCAACACAGTATAGTTAGCGATATAATTATACTTGAGCAAAACCAAACTGCATTATAGCGCAACTGACTGGCTCACTGCACTAGCATATAAAGTGATTGCACATTTATTGGTAGGATACCTCAGTATTAGTGGAAGTGAAAGGGTCGTTCTCATCATGTGACTGATCATCTGGTGGTCCAGACAGTACTAGAGTCTGGGTAGCTGTATACATACTGTCAGGAACATAACCTGCCACAAAGACACAGTCCACACAGCAAACTAAACCCCATACAGTACACTGGATGGATGGATACTGCCTTCATCTGTGATAACTGGACCACTGGTCTTCTTCTGTGGAGGCTCCATTCGTATCAGTCTCACTGCCTCATCATCACTGCAGACAAACACACCTTTACACATTTTGAGTTACAGCTATTGCTAAAGCAGACAGATGCAGCATCACATTTGACTATATAGGCTTTTTATGGTAAGGGGTTGTTATCTCACCTGTCCTTCCTCTAGTACAAACTCCACCACTGGAAGAGGCTCTGGAATAAATCATAGAGAAGAGTAAGGTTGATCTCTGCTCAAGGACTAACCAAAGGAGACGAAGGAGAACTCAAGAGGTTGTCAACACGAGGTGCAAGCATTTCCAGTCTGTCTCAGTAGAGAGTTGGTAATGGAGCAGCGATAGCACATGGGGAGAAGGTCCTGTGGACACAGACACAAACAACTCTTACAGCAAAGTCCTCTACACCACCAATAAAAGCACACATTTTAAGCTACACAACAATGCATGGTTGGCCCAGTTGGTATATATAGGTAGATAGCTATAGATATAAGGTTGAGTAAGCTATGTGTATGCAGCTTAGCTAACTCCTTTCCTGGAATGGTTTGGATCTGATGCTGAGACTCATTCTGTCCACAGGACTCTAGGAGATTGGCTAGCACTCTAAGGACTGAGTATAGGCAAACATAAGACCATTACATTATGCATGCATGCATCCCCAAAGATTTTTAAAACATCAACAGCAGTGTGTAGCTCTACCTGCATCTTCTCCAGAGCATGTCTGGCTAGTCTGAGGCCCCAGTCTGTTCTGGGCATGCTTGGCCAGAGTAAACAGAACAGCACTGGATCAGCAGTGGTCAAGAATTCAAACATTTAGCCCAATCATCTCGCATTCAACATTAACACAGGTATTACAAGTGTGTTTATGAAGGAGGTTCACAAATACATACACTGCAAAGGCTGGGCAATGCGACTCTTTGCAGTGTGCTGCATTACTAGAATAGATAGCTTTGCGACGTGATTAGTGCAGTGTTCCAAGGCATGATCCGAAATCTAAGAGTAACAAGTGGAAAAATAAATACATAAAGGGGGATATAGGGAATGGCTCGAAGCACCAAAAAGCAACAGGTAAGGTCCGAAACCCTAAGCGTAATGATTTTAGTGATGTGTGGATACAATTTGGAGATTCCTCTGGGTCAGAGAGTTTGTACAGGAGATAGTTGGCACAGTCGAGGAAGACGTCAGGGGGATACTATTGGTGAACGGTTGGTCCGTGTACCCAACACAGATTACATCACTGTCAATGTGACTTTAGATGATGTGGCTATGATGTCATGTGCAAAAGAGAAGAAATCTTACAATGAACTGGTGGACTTTGCTATAGACGTGATAGCTCTCAGAGAGACTCAGGAAATGTCTGAACTTTGACACGTGTTTCTCCATTTCCACTGACTCCCACTGGGATCTACAGGTCCAGTAGTAAATACATGGTCCTCTCACTTCAACAACACTTCCATTATGCCTATGTGTGCAACTACTAGTGGTAGAAGGCTATCTGTGCCAGCGCAATAATGCACTAATGCTAGTGGTGTCATGTAGAGCTAGGGTGCAATTGTGCAAGGGTTTGAAGTACTAACGACAGATGTGATCTCTTATTGGCGGTGGTATCAAACAAGACACGACTTTGCAGAAGCCAGTAGTAGTGCCTGCACTTCAAAATCTACAATTCTCCGCCAGTTCCTCGAGAAGATGGAGAGCCTCTTCCTCTCTCCCAGCTCTTGTCAGAGCTGAAACACATATATACAACAACATCCATAATACATAATACTATCACACCAACATTACTCACCTAGAGCAACATACATTATTCATCAACACATGTTCCGGCTAACTAATACTTACTAACTCTGATACCATCTGTTAGGAATCACCTCCTGGGCTTCGTCAAACCTATCGTTCTCTATCAGCCATGTAGCAATAGGGGATACACATCCCCTGGACATTCGTGTTATTAGGCTACTCCACAATGACATGTTTTTTTCTTACGCGATTTGAGGATGTTTCCTAACCAAGCCAAATGCCTGCATAGAAGTGTAAATACAATGATTATGTCACATGTATGCTCTAGATTAACTAACATTCACCCACTGGAAGGAGTTGACTTAGAGGGAGGCCAGAGATTTGTGGTCTCCCAGTTTTCCTCAACAACCTCTGCCGCTTGAGAATACTGGACAGTAGACGAGACATGTAATTCTACAATAAAAATAGCAACAATCGTGTGTCATGTGGGTTTGCATACAGTCCAGACGATTTGAGGTGGCGAGCACACGTGCGCAGCAGAGGTTCCTGGGAGATGTCCCACAATCATGGGCCCGGTTTACCATCCTGTACACAACATATATGTCAATATTACTAGAATGCATTATGGGCGAGTGAGTGCAATATAAGGTTTGGTGTTTTCTGACCCATCAGTCCAGCCATTCTTGGCCAGTTTCCAGTTTGCCTTAAAATCACCCACTGTCAGAATACAATACGCTAATAGGACAAAAAAAAAAAAAAAACATTACAAAAATAATGACCATGATTAGGTATAATACTTTCTTTAATGACTCCCTTGAAATGAGGACAAAACCTCTTATTTCCCTGAAAACATTAAAAAAAAAAGGGTTTAAACTCACCCTGAAATTAGGACACCTCACTCTGTCCCCACTGGGTTTCAATATTATAGCCTAGAGGTTCTCCACTACAGACTCAATCCATACCAGGCAGCTTGAGGTTGTGAGCCTCACCGTGCTTTTTTTCTGCCTTGAGGATTGTTGGGGGGGGTTTTGGGGGTTGTGGTTTGTGGGCGGGGTTTGTGTGGTTTTTGGGTTGATGGTGGTGGGGGGGGTGTGGTGTGGTGTGTTGGAGTGGGTTGTGGGTGGTGGTCGGATTTTTTCGCTTTTTCTGGCCCCCTCGTGCCTGTTTGCTCAGCATTCTCTGGACTCTTAGCCACTACTCCTCCCCCCTCTAACTTTCCCCTCTGCCCCTTCCTGGAGTGAGGTACTGCTTGGCCTTCTCAACTCAACGGAGATCTGTAAACATCTCCACATCCTGCATCCCAACGTTTAAACACTGTGCACCAACAAAAAAACAAAAAAAACCAAAGTAGCTAATGGAGTAACTTAGTAACCTTCTGATCCTGACCACTTTTCTATAATACAAGCTGTGCTGCATCTTCAAACTTGCTCTAAGTGAAATAAATTTGAGTATTGATTATAGCCGGAGGCCAAGCTGCATTAGCTAGCACTAAAATACCTGGTAAGCTAGAAATCGCCAAGAACACATCATTGATATTCTCCCTCTCTTCTTCTCTCCTACACACACTCCAACAATTTATTGGCAGTTGAGGGAGTATAGTGAAAGGGGCTACTGACCTCAATACTGTGAATCCTCCAAGTAACCTTTAGGTCTCTCAGTCTCAGGAATGACTTCTTGGCCACTTCAAGATCCACCCCTGTCGAAGGGGACGGGGAAAACAACACAGCATGTGTGTGAGAGAGAAGCAACCATCAGGAGTCCACGAGCAAGTTCTATAAAAATTCTCATTCTTACTGTCCTTTACTTCCTTCAGACGCTCATGCTAACCCTACTCATTACTTACTCCACATCCAATGTGTGTTGAGAGGAAGGTAGCTGACCTCAAAAGCCACCAAGAGCCAAAATCTCCAGTCCTCCTCTGTTACTCCAAGACAGACTATGCGATAGGCATCCCTACGGTTCATTTTCAGTGAAACATGTGGAGATACGGGGGAATCGACTTCTTGTATAGCTTTCTCTCCACATACTGAACCATGGGGGCTGACTATAGGAACAGATATATATCCAAAAGCTCACATGCCAGTATAATTCAAAATGATACATGAATGGAAGAGGTAATGTGATGTGACTGACTGAGGGCATCAATGGTCTTCATGGTAGAGAAGTGAGACAGAATAACCTTTGACACCATGCAATCCCACCACAAACCCTGAAGAAAGAAAAGATAGCTCTCAGGTGGTAGTAGAGCCAACGGACCACTTGTTTTCTGTCGTGATGGGAAAGTGTTGAGGCTTTGATGCTGAGCATGTTTTCCCACTGTATAGCACAGCATATCCAGGAGACAGAGAGTCACAAACAACATAATACTAGACGTGGTTGTGTACCCACAATATAATGGGAGAAGCTCTTGCTATCTTAATTTCAAGATAGGGTTTGTGGATTGCATGTATACAGTGGAGTTCAAGAATACACAGAGAGAAAACTCTTTGCAATGCCCATAAAGCCCTAAGTTCACAGGAATTTTCCCCCTATAATCTCCACCTTCCCCAATCCCCATCTGTCTCTCGTCTCTACACTACCGTCACAGTGGGAGTTCCCATGCCACACTAGTGTGCATTGGGTTCCTGATAGAGGAGCTCTCTGTGGTTCACATCATACACCATAAGGACGCTGTTCTCATCCACCACTGCCAGCTTCGTACGACTGGAGAGAAAGAGGAATAAAGATTAACAAACCCTCTGTAATGTAGTATAACACACCCTCTGGTAATGCATAAAACACTCTACAATACCTCTTAAAATTGAAAGTAAAGATATTGGGTGGTAGCTACGTCGATTTTTTGTTTGACTGCACTTAGGGATTGCAACAAAATGTTGTCTAACTCTCTCTTCTACCGAAAGACCAGTACTTGCAACGACCTGAACGTCAACGACACGCACTAAGTACAGTGTTTCCTCTCATCTCGAGATCGCAACGTTCGCCCCAAGTCCAGGAATTAATCGACGAGGAGGCGGTAGAGCTTGTCAGAGAGTGCAGAGCTTTCTGAAGACAATGCCGAACGTCACATACACTTGGAGGTTATACAAGTGGACGTATCATTTTCTTCAAATGAAGGGGGATATAGGATGGCTGTAGCACCAAAAAGGAAGAAACAAGGGGTCATTACACACCAAATATCCACAAAGTCACATGACACCATCCCTATATCTCTGTCTCATATTACAGTTTGCTTATGACAATAGAACAAAGATATATGGATGGTGTCATGTCGCTTTGTGCATATTTGGTGTGTAATGACCCCTTGTTTCTTCCTTTTTGGTGCTTCAAGCCATCCCTATATCCCACCTTAATTTTTTCCACTTATTTCCACTATTTTTAATGACTTATGACAACACTGCATTTCAGCACTCTGATGTTCATTGGTATGTTGTAGAGATAACTGTTGAAGCAGAAGCTAATGGACTGCTCTTACCTGAAGCAGGGTGTATGCTGTAGTGTCTGCAAACAAGGACGCAATTAGGTTGTGGCACATATGGTGGTGGTTTCATTGGCAGAGGCTTTCAGAAATCAGACTACATGATAGCTATAACCTGGGGACAAAAATGAAGGCGCCTGGCAAGGCACGCGTACACGGCGCAGATTGCAAGTTGATCCTCGTGCAAATCAACAGCAAAACGCAAGCTAGCCAGTTACAAATGTGTACACTGACTTACAGAAGGCACTGGAGGATGAGTGTAGTTTTCTCTGCAGGCATCCAGTCCTGGCTTAGTCTCGTCCGCGGACCAGGTTTACGAGACAAAATGCGCGCGCACCGCAATGGAAACGCCCTCCTCGGCTCATGCGGCTCACTGATGCTGAGTTACCAGCAAATGGCGTTGTTCAGTGACTACCGAGGAAGAGCTCAACGACCTACCGTAGTGACTTGCGGCAAGAAACAAACGATCGCTTGATATGCGTGCACACCTCCGGCAAATTCGGAGACGTTCTGTGAAAAAATCAACGCTTCAAGTGCTTCCGGTAAGGAGCTAGCGGGTCTGAAGAAGAAGAAGAAGAAGATGAAGAATAATTATGATGACACGAAAATCACGAAATCGCCTAAGAGCGAATTCTCTCGTTGGGAACTGAGGGCACGTACGAAGTCTTGGGGAATATGTATAGCTAGGTATTGGCCTCTAGACTATTGCTAATGATTTTGAAGCCGTAGTGAGTCATTCTCGCCGAGTTTTGAGGCGTTTTGTACGCGGATCACGTGAGATTTCAATCGCGTCATCCCTATATAGACCGACGCTCTAATTATACTACGCGTCGCAGCTGAACCCGCTTAGCGCTATTGGGATAGCCTACGGAGCCTGCAAAACCATCACATTCCTCCTCCAAGTCATCTTCAAGATATTCATCTGGTCCTGTGTTGTGGGCAGGGGAAGAGTGGCAGTGAGCCTGAGGTCGAAAAAGCTGTACAAGAGCGCTACCGTAAGGTGGATGAAGAAGACGAAAACGAAGAGGAATTGAAGTCTGTGGTAGAGTGATGAGTGTTCACAAAAAATAGATCGTTATAAAACTTTTTTCATGCAGCACACCACATAAAATGCTGTTGTATGTATGCACGTACAGTTGTATGTATAACTATAATTATGTGCTATGAAGATCTACTTCTTGGGAAAATGTTTGACAAGAAGAACCCTTTCTTCCTTTCCTGCAGTAACGGTATAAATATGGTATCATTAATAGATTGCATTATTATAGATTCACCCACAGAAAATACCCTATTATGGACTGGAGTCACAGAAAATGTGCAAATGGTCATGGTTCTTACTGGACAAAGTAATGGTAACTACGTCATGAAACGATTGCTCATTGGAAGGTCTGCATCTACAGTGGAAACTATGAATAATGGCACGTTGCGACCAGGAATTTTGTCCTTTATTGGCAAGCGAAGCGAGCCTACCTTGTCATTTCAATTTGGGTGTGACGGGCACTTTGCACTGGCACTGCACTACCGTAATATTCTACGTCATGTGAGTGAAATATTGAACTGCTCGCGCTCGCTCGCCAGCATTCCTTTGTCTAATACGGAAGTTGTCCCCTCTTTGGAGATTGAAAAACTACTTGGGACACCTTAATATGCACTACCGTAATATTCTACACATGTCGACTGAGCATATTGAACTGCTCACGCTCGCTCGCCAGCATTCCTTTGTCTAATACGGAAGTTGTCCCCTCTTTGGAGATTGAAAAACTACTTGGGACACCTTAATAATGCACTACCGTAATATTCTACACATGCGACTGAAATATTGAACTGCTCACGCTCGCTCGCCAGCATTACTCTTGTCTAATACGGAAGTTGTCCCCTCTTTGGAGATTGAAAAACTACTTGGAACACCTTAATAATGTGTCCTTTATTAAGAGGCAGTTTCACGTCCGCCTTTCTTGTTCCGTGTGACGCTAACCTCTGATCCTGAGCTACCTCCCACCGATGCTTGCACAGCAGCACTGCTGTCTCTTCCTTATCGTCGACAACTGTGGATGTGGCATGAAACACAAAATTTAGGACCATAATAATAATATATAAAAGTTATTCGAGGCTGTACAAGATTGAAGAAAAGCTTGTGAGGAAACAAGCCACATACATGAAAACAGTAGGTGCCTTCAAAATTGTGATGCTAACCTTATATTAAGAGGAAGAAAACCATGTTATAGCTAGTATTATAATATATACGAGCAAGAAAACCTTTTGCTGTTGAATCAGATGCTACTGTCGGAGTGGGTAGCGTTTCTTCTGTCCAGGCAGGAGTCGGAGGTGGTGTCTTTTCCATACTGGCCACCCCCTGCTTCTTTCTACTCTTACCCAACAGTAAATTTGGCAGTTTTCTGAAGCTCTTGCTTTTTCTTGGGTGTTTCAGTGACTCTGTATTATCGAGAGAGCCGGTTGACCTAACCGGTGAGGAATCTTCCTGGCTCGAACTCTTTGCCTTCTTCTTATTCTTCTTCTCCTTTGGTCGTTTCTTTCTGCACCATCTCTCACCCTCTCCCCCCTCCGTCGAGATCTCCAGTTGAGGTGACTGCGACGACACTCCACCATAGTTCTCACCGTATCCCTTTAGATAGATTTCCATGTCGTTCTTTAGAGCTGCACTCGCCCTACACCTGTTTCCTGTACGCCCGTCTGCTCCCCACCATAGCTCCTTTTTCCGTTGAAACCACGTTCTCTTGTTCAGTTCTCATTTTCTTGTTCCCGGCTCCATCATCTTCCTTCCCTGTCGTGTCCGGTGTGTCTCTACCGGATGAAGGTTGTGGCAATGAAGCTACTGCTGGTGAAGTGTACGGGGGTGATTTTGTTGGGCGAGGAGATGATTCTGACTTAGGACCTTTCACTCTGGTGACGGGTGGTTTTGATATCGATGCCGGTTGTGGGGAATTTACTTTAGCTCCGTTGGTATCAGCAATTGCCGCTTCATAACTATAGAATGCATGGTAGTTGTTGCACAATGTACAGAATTGCAGGTGGATAAAATATTTCTTGAAGGCCAGCCAAGTATATCAGTATAGCCATTACCATAATCTAACACTCAATGTCCCGGTTCAATCACAGGCTTCTCCTACTGAATTAGCTAATTATGGATCTGTCAACAAAGTACATTAAAACAATGGGTAGTATACACCAGATCCCCTGCTCAATCTCTTTCCAATGAGGCACATGGGTGAGTGGGTGCACAGAGCAATGGACATGTTGCACTAGTGTTGCAGTGTCAGTATATCTCCAAATGGGCACAGCTCCTTGCCAGGAGTGCATGGTTAAACAAACCCAGTCAATGGTCATGGATGCTTACCCAGGAGGAATATTCCCAACATGAGTTTCCACCTCTGCCTCAGAAACCAGTGTCTCTGTTGAAGACAAGACATACATGATATACATGTAGTATGTATTGCAAGCATAATCAAATGGGGGGGGGGTTACTATGAGGTAATGTCAACTATGGCCAATTTCCTCATCCGTTCTGTAAAAGCTGCGGTTGACCCTGAGATTCCCAAAAGAGTATCATCCAATGCTATACTCTTAGGTTTGCATATTACACATGCAAGACAGACTGGTATAGCTTAAAACCCTGAGATTCCCAAAACAGTATGATACATTTACTCTTAGGTTTGTACATGCAGGACAGACTGGTATACACTCACCGGAGCACACCTCCAAGTGGAATACCCTCTCGAGGGAGCTGTGGCCATCGGAGACGACACACCTGTACTCCCCGGTGAGGTAGAGAGAGGCCATCTGGATCTGGAGCATCCCTGGTGCTGGCTGAGTGAAGAATGGGTCTGTAGGGCAAAAGAAACGATACACAGTTTAGGTTGACTGGCATTAACCCTTTGGGCGCAATTTACATATATATATGCACAGAGCCTCCATAAGTGCATAAGAATTTATATATGGCTATAATACTAGGCGCTAATATGTTATACATCAATTTCTGCTTATTTAAGGAGACACCTATGGCAATAATTATTATCACTTGGAGACATTACTTAAGACTAATGAAACAATGCGTATTTTAACTTGGACACTTGGATTAGGGTGTCTGCAGCTTTTTTTACTGCTTGGGTTTACTGATATAGTTTGTGAATAACTAGACCTGTGATTACCTCATTTCAGACACTATATATACTGTATGTTAGTAGGTGGAAATTTACGCTTACTGAAAACACATATGGGGAGCTATTGTATTACGTAGCTATATACCATGTTCGGAGATGGGTTTCCCCTCCCTGAGCCACTGATAGTGGACAGAGTGCTGACTCTGGGCCACGCAGGTCAGGAGGGTGGAGCCTCCGTGGGACACAGTCTCATAGGCCGGACTGGCCGACACTACCTTCAGTCCTGCCACATCACCTGTCGTGTTTGTAAGTCATGAATGACATCTTTCCACGGAGAGGCATATTATTCATAGTTTAATAGTTTAGACTATGAAGTGATTTCATGCACCACACCTACTAGTGTACAGCAATGACTACACTAATGTGCTTGCACAAACAAGCACGCTGAATGATAACCTGTGGCTTAGTCTACCCTTTGGGTGCCACGGAATAATAATTGTGCCTAAAAGTCTTATGGACTTATGGAGTCGCTGTGTTAAGACTTCTCACTTTTGTTATCGTTCACTTGTGTCTCATCGTTATCAGTGAATACTGAGCTGTATTCATCCTCATCATCTGTAGCCACTTCCATTTCAGGCCTCCTCTCACCCATATTACCACCTGACCCACTATGCATCCCTCTCTCTGAACCAATCTCACTCCCCCTGGTTGACTGGGGCTGTTTGAGTCGGCTATCGTCAGTGTCAGATTTCAGCTGAGAAGGAAGTGCTCGGGGACGAAGAGGTGAGGTGGCACCCTGGAACACGTCTTCTTTCTTCCCAAGACTTGATTTGTCTTTGCTCCGCTGTGACTGAGTGCTGGTTATGGAGTAGTGGCTTGTGGGTTGGGACATGTGCGTTGGTGGAACACTCTTTTCTTTTGAGAAGTTGGGAACCTCAGGCTTCTGTGATAATACAGTAATTTGTGAACAATTAAAATGATCCTCACCTTTGTTGTTGAGTTTGACTTTGTGGGGTAGTGGGTTGGCTCTGAGTGTGTTTGAGACAGGGTTGATGTAGATCTCCTTCCCCTTGCCTTTGTCCGACGGCCCGATATTCGATTCCCGATATTAGCATCTTGCAGACCTTGTAAGAACTTGGATGAAGGGTGGGGAGGTATTCCACTGGTGTAGGTGGTGTAGGTTGTGATGCAGTGACGAGTAGAGCTCTGGGCTTGCCCGAGCCTCGTAAGAGAGCGAGGATGGGGTGAGGAAGACCGGTGTGGGTCACCAGGTGCACTCGTGAATGATGACGCGGATTTCATGTGGGCGTCGAGAGGGAGAGACATGTAGCTATTGGAGTGTGGCGTCATTGGTGGGAGGGGCATAATTGGTGGGTGGGGCATCATTGGTGGGAGGGGCATCATTGGTAGGTGGGACATCATGGGTGGGAGGGGCATGAAGACAGTTGCAGGGGGAAGTGGATATGACCGCAGTGGATCTGGCTGTAGTGCAAATGGTGCCGAGTTGTCAAGTTTTTTCTCCTTATCTGCTACTCTTTCCCCCTCAAAACAGTGACTGCTGCTATCCTTACCCCTGTTGCGTTGAGCCATGTATCTCTTGCTAGCAGCTAACTTGGTGAGGGTTTCCGTTTCTTTATCCGATCCAGACTCATAGAGCAGGTTGTCCATGGTGCGAGGTCGTGGTTCGATTGCATCATTGTGCAGGAGTCCACTCTTCCGTGCCTTCAGTATGTCTTGGTTGTGCTCAACATACAGTTCGTTGTGGATGATGGGGGCAATGTGAGAGAGCTCAAACCACGTCAGTTTTTCCTTTGATAAACCAGACTTCCTCCAACTGCAAAGTATAGTGGCACAAAAAGCTGATACCAAGCTATTCACTTGCCAATAATTATTGTTTAGCATGCTGCATTACACTGCTAAGATCGTTTTGCAAACGGTGTCTACAGGAAAACACCCTCGTGTTTGCACCACTCAAAGAGCATATAAAATTAACCTGGCTATACTCCACCAGTATAGTAGAAGAGATAGGGTTACTGACGATCTGACCTGACTAAGATTGCTCCCACAGCAGACCTGGTCTCTACCACTCCTTCCCACCCGCATTCTCCATCCCTGTACACCACCCGTGCCCCAGTTGCCAGTCGCTTGTCAGCCACTCCATCGTCTCTGAGCTGAAGGTGACTGCTCTCAAGCAGAACCGTCTCCTTGCTCTTTGCATCACGAACCTAATGTGAGACACTCATATTATTACCACACTCCAGCCATGTAGCTAGAGTTCACTTACCTTACAGAGGTTTCGTTTTGGTCCAATCTCGACGACAAAGCCCTCGTACCAAACCCCAAGCCAATTTAGCTGCACCGCGGACCCAATGTGCACCTGGCGCCCGTCTGCACAGCGGTATAGCTAATAGCTTGAACGCGAGTCCCCCAAAACAACTTACCAATATCGACCGCGGCAGGTGCTCCCTTCATCTGTAGTGCCCAGTCTGGCTCTGCAACGACGACTAAAACCAGCCCCACCTCTCAGCAGACTGGAACGGCGCGGCCGGCCGCGCCCCGCCCCAATTTCGTATTTGCTTTCCAGCCCCGCCCATCTATAGCACGTACGAGCCCCGCCCATCTACTTGTATGCGCAATGCGCATCAAATAGAGGAGTACAGAGCAGTGTCCAGCTATCATACTACCTACCGATGGCAGCTTGTAGCGAGGACAGATCTACGGGGCTGGAGACTATTCGTGAGAGGAGTGAACTGGCCAGCAGGCTACTGGTGCAGGCACAAAAGTTGAGACTCGGAAGAAACGTGAGCCCAATCAATGGCCACACTTCAGTACGGACGGCAGCAATGCCTGGTACTATCTTTGTAGGTAGGAGGTGTCCAGCGGGTCGAGAGAAAGATCAAGGCTGAGAAAGGTTTCCTGGACTCTGTAATAACACTACAACCACTAAATACTCCAGCGCTTGTCTTGTGTCTCATCCCCACAGATTCTGAGTGGGCATACGGCTCTCAGAGACACTCACCTCAGTTCAACCAACCTCACCCACATCCAGTCAGTGCTGGAGATAGCGCTGGAGACAGAGGACCTCGCGGCAGTCCAGCAGTGCTTCACACTAGTCCCTGGCCTCGGAATGACCCCTGTACATACAGTATTCATCACCAGGCCCAGTTTTAACTGTAGATGCACCGCCTTAGCAGTGCTTGGATGCATGTTTCCAGTGATTCTCTTCTAACACACCCATCATACCTTTACAGAGGGTGATGGATATACCCTTAGTTCTTGGAAAATGAACCCTAACCATCTTGTTTTGGCTACGTTTGGTATATATACAGTTGACTCACTTTGCATATTTGTTAGCATGGTGTGTTTCTCGTTTTCCATGAAGAGAGCCATTTGTGTATGGAAAGTGTGTGTATGGATGAATAAAATTATGTCCGAATAATATATAGGCAATGAAAAACATTTGAGAATAATGCTAGAATATAAGGGGTGTTGGCTGACTTTCCGCGCACTGTGTTTCTTGCATGCATGTGTTAAACTAGGACCGTCTGCTGTAGGTGAGTGTCCAAGTAGATGTGGTGGTTGCAGGAGGAGGGAGATGGGTCAGAGTCTTCTGTAGGAAAAGATCTGCACTCCACCGCAGGTGGCTGGGTAAGTGTATGGGGTGTGATGCATTCTTCATTACATGCATCAACAAGCTATTTTTGTTAAAATGTGCAAACCCCACTTAACTTCTGTGATGGAAATAGAACTTAGCACATACATACTTGAAAAAAGAGCTCTCCTGGGTGTAATTGCACACAATAATGCTGGTATTTCTCCTCGATGTGCTCGCATGTGAAATAGAAAAGCAAAGGCACAACAAACAAATCAACTATTTTTTTCAAAAAAGACGACACTCTGCAGTTGAGGCGAGCGCTCCACCAACTCAGCTACCAGGGCAACTCAGGATGAGGTAGTAAGGCAGAGGAACAACAAACAAATCAACTACACCCAGGAGAGCCCTTTCTTTCCAAGGAAAAAAAGATGAGCTGCCCTAGGTGGGATTTGAACCCACGTCACTCTGCAGTCTAGGCGACCACTCTACATCGCTGAGCTTCCAGGGCAACTTCAACTCCATGTGTATATATAAACCTGGGAGGAAATGTAACTGTGTGGTTACATAAAGGGAACAAACCTAATACTTGCTAGCAGTGATAGCTGTTGAAATTCTACTTCTGCAGGAGATGGACAGTTTGGTGATAAGTCAGTGGGTGACATAGCCACAGAGTATGTAGAAACTGGGAAACAGAACTTGCGCAAGTTCCAACCTCCCAGAATATCCTTCGTCTTCTTTGATGGAATCACAGAGAGTGTCTCAGGTCAGCTTATCAGCACATATCCAACATGGCTTAAATCCGCACTGCCGTAATGCTCGGAATGATACAATTAATAATTGAGGGAATTATAAGTACTAAATATAGAAAGTGTAACCGAAAACAGAAAATTAACGGCATTTGTGCATGGACCTTATGGTTTAGCTCTATCTTTAGTAACTTTCTGAATTTAGCCTTTATGCATGGCCGCATTCCCTTTAAAATTTGTGTGGCCCCAAAGATCGGTTTGCATATCATACCTATTATTCCTAAACATAGCACGATAATAATTATTTCAACCCTGTTGATTTGATGACTGCAGCTTGTTAGGTATTTAATCATAGGAGTCCTTGCTGATGTCCCCAGGTGTGCTAGAGAGCAATGGGATAGAGGTGGTGGGTCCAGTCTATCCAGATGAGGCCACGGAAGACACACCCTCTTTTCACCACGTGATGTCACTGGTCAGGGAAGGACTTAGAGAAGGAGAATTATCTCACTGTGACAGCAGACACCTTGTCCAGAGACCTGTGGCTAGACTGGAACCTACAAACACCGACTGGTAAGTGGTGTTTTGAGTCCAGAGCACCAATATCTATAGTGGGCAGACCCTGGACCAGGCATTAAAATTATGGATAAGATTGCTCTTTTTGTTATTGGTGAGTGAACCATGCCTAATATTCATATAAATGCGGACATAATTAATATAGCACTAAATGTTCTTTGTGGCCGGAACTGCACAGGCACTGCACATAACGTTTTACGTGATTTTCAATACACGCACAAATTTGAACTGCTCACGCTCGCTCACCAAAAATGTGTGCCACTCGTTCTAGTACTCATGTGTGTTTTATACATACTGGACATTGAATAAGAAATTAGAAATTCTCGTGCAAATTTTGTTGTTACAGTGAGCGTGTGAACCTGGATGTGTCGTCAATGTTGGCCTGGGTCTCCTCCCTGACTCATGGTGGAGAGATGTACACTCTCCAGGTGGGCACCAGGTCTATACTGAACCATGGTGTGATAATTAGTAACTTGTAGAGTGACAACCTTTGTGAAATTTTGTTATAGAGCCATCTGTACAAGAGTATTCCATGATCGTGGCCATTGAGAGCATAACTGCATGAAAACGTTATGATTTTGTTTTTAAAAGCAAGCCCACCTTCATCTTAAATGTGCTATTTTTATGTGAAACAGCACTGTAAAAACCCAATGTCAGTGGTTTTAAACACATGAAAGTTTTATCTTAAAACAGCTGACATTTCAAAGTCGTATTCGCTCGCCAATAATGATGCGATGCCAATATGTCATGTGGCTGTGTGTCATAGGGAGTTGTTGTTTGATTTGAATGAAGGAGAGGATACTGAATGAGCAGGCAGAGCAAGAACGCCAGTCTCCACTGTGGCCTCAGCTACAGAGAGCTACCAGAGGTGATTGACACTATTGTTACTGTGCTTCTTTGTGTGTTCAGGCTAGGGAAACGATTGGTGAGATTGGGTGTGCAGTTGATGCTTGTGTTGGTGTTTGTTCCCTTACTTTGTATGTGTTGGTAGGTGCTAAGGTAGATCTTGGTAGATGTTACCTTCGATTCTGTGTGCAGGTAAGAAACTGATGGCCTGTCGCACAGCAGCTGATGGGTTTTCAGACATAGTGGGGAAGGTAGGAGGAGAGCAGGAAAAGGCCAGGGCAAGGTTTGACTGTAATGCTTTTACAAACTTTCAGTTCAATCATGTTTCAACTCCTTGAATTATGGTAGCTTGACTATGTCCTACTTACAGCCTTCCATAAGATTTGATACTAGCTATATAGTGTATTTTACTGTACGTGGTGAGTGGGAGTATTTTGTGCTATTGCACTGTTGTTTGAGGCTTTCCTTCATCTTGTGCTTTTTGCTCAGCGCTCGCCTAGAATGTTGTGGGTTGTAGGCGCAGCATCTTTTTCCATGCAAAAAAAGAGTTTCCCTGTAGGTGTATTTGTGTTGTTCACCTTTGCTTTGCCGTCACATTTGAAGATCTCTGTTGGCTATGGTTGAGGTAGTGGATGACTGCCCATCACCGCGAGCAATGACACTGTCTGTCAGTCACAGAATCACCCCCAGAGCCAAGGTTAGTTCCTGCAATTCACACAATGGACATCCATCACAGAGAGTGATCTAATTTTGCCACCACAGATAGTGTTTGGCAGTGGAGACACACTCCGTACCTTGACACTCACTGCAAATGGAGGTTTTGTTAGGGCAGCAGCACACCAGGTATATACCAGAGCATCATACACTCTTCGGTGTAATCACTGTTTATGCATACCATGAAATTCCCCACAATTTTTTTGGTGGGAAATTTTCTGATCAGCGATGCATTCCCTATTGTGCTTAGACAGAGTCATCAGTTGGCAGGCCTGTGTAAATTTCATCACCCATGCCAACTCACTGCTGCCTTGACACACAAGTTCTCACGTCTATACTCATTATCTGCAGGGGGTGCATTTCGAGGTGTGTGTTCATTCCTCAAGAGCACTAACAGAGGCCAAGCAGCAGTCTTCAGTGTTAGACAATACTTGAACTCAGAACTATTGCTGTTCTTGTTCTATTATCTTAATGTTTCTGACGAGGCACGGTCATACTGAAGAAATAATATATCGTGGACATGCATTGTTGTGTGAGCAACTCTCGCGTTTGTATGCCAAAAATGAGTTGCATTCCTTATAATGGCTGTGAGTAGGTGGGACAATGAGATCAAGTTGTAGGTAGAGCAGAGAATGAAGGTGTAGCTACCTGAACAAATTGTCTCCACTCTCACGTTTGCTACTCTACACATTTTCAAGTTCAAATGCATGAATGGTTTTCAAGTGCTACAGCTCTCCATGTTATAGTTGTACGATGTCGGCGCGTGGTTTACGGGACGCACGAGTGGCTCCGTTAAATAGAACACGAGGGCGGAGCCCGAAGAACGGAGCCACGAGTGCGTCACGTAAACCACAAGCATTACGACATCGTAAAAATGGCTTGTATGATGCTTCCGTACGTGGGCAACCCCCCATGCCCACCGGCTTTACCTAGTCCGCGCGAGAAAGCGCGCAAGAATGCCCCGGCCCGCCGCCGCCCTCTCTGCATACAACCACCCCGAAAGCGCTAGCGGGCGCGCGACATCTTCTGGCTCTTCGAATCAGTCGTCTCAGTGTTGCTGAGTAGCGTTGACGTGGCTAGACCCGTAAGTACTTCGTCGTTTCTAGCTGGAATGTTCTATCTGCCATAGGCTATAGTGACGCTCACCCTACGTTCATCCTGTATGTTCTATCTTCTATAGAATATTGTACACTGTCATAACTGTGGTTTACACACATCTGATAAGAAAGGCGTGATGACCTCGCATTCCAGCTTTGATCCACCCACGCAAGTATCATACA